GGTGTAAACGCTGTTACAAAGCTCCTTCCCCCACCCATCTAGCCTTCCTGTTATCATAAACAGATGGATGATATGTTAGGGTGTAAACGCTGCTACACTGCTCCTTCCCCCACCCATCTAGCCTTCCTGTTTTTCATAAACAGATGGATGATATGTTAGGGTGTAAACGCTGTTACAATGCTCCTTCCCCCACCCATCTAGCCTTCCTGTTATCATAAACAGATGGATGATATGTTAGAGTGTAAACGCTGTTACACTGCTCCTTCCCCCATCCATCTAGCCTTCCTGTTATCATAAACAAGTGGATGATATTTTAGGATTTAATCGCTGTTACTCCGCTCTCCTTCCCCCATCTAGCGGGAATGCATCTCCATCCACGTCGGACAAGCCGGCGCGCAGATCGGTAACGCTTGCTGGGAGCTCTACTGCCTGGAGCACGGCATCGGAAAGGATGGCATCAAGCCGGACAGCGCCGTCGCCGACGATTCCTTCAACACGTTCTTCTCGGAGACGGGCATGGGCAAGCACGTGCCTCGCGCCGTGTTTACCGACCTGGAGCCTACCGTCATCGGTACGTGACGTCACACCGCGCGTCGCCGCTGTTGTACTCGCAGTGGACGAGATTTTTCAGTATCATCATCATCATCATCATCATCACCACCATCGTCATCATCATCAGCGCCATCATCATCATCATCATCATCATCACACATTATTTCATCATTTATCGTGTTATTTTTTCTCACAGACGAGATTCGCAAGGGGCCGTACCGGCAGCTCTTTCATCCCGAGCAGCTGATTACGGGTAAAGAGGACGCCGCTAACAACTATGCTCGCGGCCACTACACCGTCGGCAAGGAGATCATCGATGTCGCCATGGAGAGAATCCGTAAACTGGTGCGTGCGCGAGACTGCTGCCGCGGAGTAGCGATCCATATACACAAGTACACCTCATTCCACGCTGTAAACTCATTACACACGCCCACCGTCTATACAGCTAATTCTACGTCCACCTACTCGCACGCGCTATCAGGCTGGGCTGCCCATTCTACGAGCTTTCGACGCGATTTAGGCTCTACAGAAACAACATAAATAATAATATAAATGATAATAATAATTATAATAATAATAACATAAACAACAACAACAACAACAACACCAATAATAATAATAAGAAGAAGAAGAAGAAGAAGAATCTCTCTTCGTGACTGAAGGATAGGCCTACAACCGATCTCTTGTATCATAGAATTTCTTCTCCCTTTTCCAGGCGGACCAATGCAGCGGCTTGCAGGGATTCCTCATCTTCCACAGCTTTGGAGGAGGAACCGGTTCCGGATTTGCGTCCCTCTTGATGGAGCGCTTGTCCGTGGACTACGGAAAGAAGTCCAAGTTGGAGTTTGCCATCTACCCGGCCCCGCAGGTGTCCACGGCCGTCGTCGAGCCGTACAACTCTATCCTGACCACACACACGACGCTCGACCACTCCGACTGCGCCTTCATGGTCGACAACGAAGCCATCTACGATCTATGCAGGGTCAAGCTGGACATCGCACGTCCTACCTACACCAACCTGAACCGCCTCATCAGCCAGATCGTATCCTCCATCACCGCCTCCCTGCGCTTCGACGGTGCCCTCAATGTTGACCTGACCGAGTTCCAGACCAACCTGGTGCCGTACCCTCGCATCCACTTTCCGCTGGTCACCTACGCGCCCATCATCTCCGCCGATAGAGCCGGACACGAGCAGCTGTCCGTTATGGAGCTAACGAATGCCTGCTTTGAGGCAAACAATCAGATGGTGAAGTGCGACCCGCGCCACGGCAAGTACATGGCCTGCTGCCTGCTCTACCGCGGCGACGTCGTGCCCAAGGACGTCAACAGCGCCATCGCCAATATCAAGACGAAGCGCTCGATCCAGTTCGTCGACTGGTGTCCGACCGGATTCAAGGTCGGAATCAACTACCAACCGCCGACCGTTGTTCCCGGAGCCGATCTCGCCAAGGTTCAGCGTGCAGTCTGCATGCTGAGCAACACCACGGCCATCGCTGAGGCGTGGGCGCGTCTTAACCACAAGTTCGACCTGATGTACGCCAAGCGCGCCTTCGTGCACTGGTACGTCGGAGAGGGCATGGAGGAGGGAGAGTTTGCCGAAGCGAGGGAGGATCTGGCGGCGCTGGAGAAGGATTACGAGGAGGTGGGCCTGGACTCGGGAGAGGATGGCGACGAGGACGATCTCGAAGAATATTAGTTCGGCGCTTATATAACGATATCGTGAATTAAAGAGAAAGCAAAACAAAAAGTAAACAATGCAGATTTCATCGTGAAAATTCACGCTTTTTTAATTGTCATAACCGCTAAATTGTATCGTCGCAATTTTAGCAACAGACGCTACAATCAAATACGTGAAATACGATGTTTATACCTATTTTTCAACATTTCCTGTGGTAATTCCTTTTCATACGTGAAAAAATAAATGCTTAATAACGTGTTCGCTGTTTTGTGTTGGTCTCCGTGTGCGCGCGCGCGCGTGTGTGTGTGTGTGCGTGCGTGCGTACGTACGTACGTGGGAGAGTGCGTGTGCTTGCGTGTGTACGTGTGTGTGTATGTGTGCTTGCTTATGCCTGTATGTGCGTGTGTGTACGTGTGTGGGTGCGCAGTGCGTGTATGTGGGTGGCTATGCCTGTATGTGCGTGTGTGTGCGTGTGTGGGTGCGCAGTGCGTGTATGTGGGTGGCTATGCCTGTATGTGCGTGTGTGTGCGTGTGTGGGTGCGCAGTGCGTGTATGTGTGTGTGTGTGCGTGTGTGGGTGCGCAGTGCGTGTATGTGCGTGTGTGGGTGCGCAGTGCGTGTATGTGGGTGTGTGTGTGCGTGTGTGGGTGCGCAGTGCGTGTATGTGGGTGGCTATGCTTCATCGCTCACTTCGCTCAGTTATCAGTCACATAAAAGTTATAGAATTTAATATTGCAATAATAGACGGAGGTAAGGATTTTATGTGATTTATGACTCTAAACTTTGCGTAATTTAAATTTGGGCCAAACGACGTTTTTAAAGTTAACCATGGTAACAAAACAAAAATAAAACAAATACACAGAGAAGTGATAGAGGTACACGAGTGTAAAACAGAGCGGGTCCTGCATCGTCCATCATCGGACCATTGTTATTAGTATAATGTATTACCCTAAATACTAAACACGAAAACACATTAATTAGAACCGACGTTAGCACAGTAACAGTTTAACTAATTAAATGTATTTGTTTAGCTTACATATCTCGTAATTGATTTACCGACTCAGAACCACGCGAGCAGGACGGCAGGGAAGAACACGTAGAACAGTGACGCCATGATGGATTCCACGCCATTGCAGTAATCTTCCGAGTCGCAATAGCAGCCGTTGCCATTTAATCCCTCCGTAACCGTTTCGTTGTTGCAGCCTATCACCACCGGCCCGGGCTGCGCTAAACTTTTACATCCCCAGCCTAATCTGGAGGTGAATATCAAATCTGAAACAGAAGGTGATCGAGTGAGCGTTTATAACGGCGGATGTTTTAACATAGCTAGCGAGTGTTGGACTGCGCATCCCTAACG